CAAACATAAAAAAACATTAAAACTCGAATTGTAGCTAGAATTAGGCCCACTATGAACTAAAACACAGATAGAGATTTAAGATGTTGGTTATGTTTCTGTACATATATTATACTCTTCGTCTATCTTCGTTTTAATGTGTAGTAGGCCTTAAGCTTTTACTAAAGAACACAAACGTGGCACTTATTTTTTAAATAATATAATGTCAATGCATTTTACGTATTAAAATATATAACTAATCATCAGTGGATTAATTTGAATTATTCGACAACGTGAGATTCACACACGTTTTTTTTAAGAACGACGAAGAACCGGCGTAAAATCGACGTGGCAAATTTTATTTTTATATATGTCAGCTTCTTTGTTAAGTATTTACTATTATTTTAACATACAATTAAAAGAAAATACAAAACGTCTACGCATCCTATTCATACTAGATTTAAATTAAGAGCGTTTTATGTGATTTCTTTTTACAAACATTTTTAAATTGATTATTTTTAGTATACTCCGTCCAACCATTTAACTTTTGACAGCTCGAATTCTAATTAATTAGTGATGTCCTAATGCGTTTCCGATTCGATTTTTTTATAACAATCGATTTTACTTATGAAGAAGTTTAAATCGTGAATGTGAGCGGATTCAAAAAAGAAGATATTGTCTGATTGGGATCGTGATGTTGCGTTTGACAATTTTGTGTACTCAAGAATTAATAATTAATCTTAAAGTGATGATTCCCGTTCGTATGGAAAAGAATACGACGATTCATTATAATTAACAATAAAAATTTATTATAATTATTTATAATTTATTTCATTTCAATATAATTTATTACACAGGTACGCTTGCATAATTTTTATTACATAATATGTTGGCTCGATAAATACCGGAGCTAAAGAGCACGTCGCTTCACTAAAATTAAAAAATAAGAGTCCAGGCAGTATTGCATTTTTTGTCTGTGGTTGTATGTCAATAATTACGGAACTTCGGACGCGTGCATTTATCAAAAGTTGAATAAATGTTGAACAGAGTATAACAGTACCTATGTGCCTGTTAAGGTACGAGTCAAAGTGCACAAAAAGTTAATAAGTCATTATTTATTATACAAATATAATATTATACAAAGGTTCAAACAATGTCTTAGCGTTTTTTTAAGCACCTGAAAAATATATGCCACGCCGATCACGCCGACGCCGCCCATCGAAAAAATGAGACGCCGCTGCCGACGTAATTACGACCGCTATGTCGGCCTACATTTATGCGTGAAACATACAGAGAGCGGGTGCGGGTCGGGCGCGTATCGGGTCGAGAGTGCGGCGGGTGTAATTATATAGACTACACGCATACTGTGGTGTCGTCCATATAAATTACACGGATTTACACCTGCCACGCACCCGACCCGACACGCACCCGACTCGCGCCCGACTCGCACCCGCTCTCTGTGCGTTTACACTTTAGATAGGAACCAATTTCAATATACAGAGAGTACGTCACATATCACATGATCGCCTATCCTTTCAACATAGTACATTCTTTTTCTTTAATTTTATCAAATAAAATGTCAAAAAATCGATGTTAAGGGTGAGGCCAGACAAGGGAATACTTTGACCTGTGAGTCGCGTTTTGTGAGTCAATTAATTCTGTTTTATTAAAGTCCTACCTAATATGACTACTTTCGTGGCTGAACGGTTAACATGCTAGGCTGCCGCGCAGAGGTCCCGGGTTCGATTCCCAAGCCGGAAGAAATATTTGTATGACCTACATTTATTTATCTCGTGAGTTTGGGTGTAATTTGTGGTTGTCTATGTGTGTGTCCATGCACCCGCGACACAGGGTTTCCTTAATGCGGGGCTATGAATGTGTGTTAAAAACAGTCCGATTTGTCCGGTTCACCGTACTTCGGTTGAACTGCGTGACGTGCTTGTGCGGGTGGAGAGTAAACATTTATTGGTATGTAGTAGTATTTTACTAATTCATCTGGAATGTTCATATCAGACTGCCTATACTTCTTTCCATATTGAGAACATGTACCCAGCTTGTAGATACTTTCCTAACATCATGTAATGCTTCATAACTGCCTCTGTGGCCGGACGGTTAACATGCTGGAGTGCCACGCTGAGGTCCCGGGTCGGGTGTATTCTTACATTTATTTCTTCTATATGTATGCGTTATTATTATTCATAAATGTACATCTGCTTTCGATGAATCCATTACGTAATTAATAGATTCAGGCGTTACTTTGCGGAAGTCCATGTTAATAAAAAATTAACTGCATGAAAAAATATTCAACGCAAGCGCAGTTATTTTGCAATTCACTGGGTTGGCGGAGTAGCAAACTAATTTATTTTAATTTTTTTATGAATCCATTACACTATATGACACAAACACCCGTACAAAAGCTTGAAAGCAACTGAAAAAAATACATTCGTCTGGTTCGCCCCAACCGAATTTCAACCGAAGTCAAACGTAAACTACGAGACAAAATACGCGACATAACTCACAAATTTACGCTCGTATGGCCCGCTACAGGCGTAGCACAGCTGTTTTTCGTTATTATAATATTAGTTTTTTTCCATACAGTTTTAAAATATTATTGGTTGTTGAAGCATAGTTCTACTTCGTAAGGCTTGCGTCCTATATGGCATTCATTGTGCTACCAGAGAACAAATAAGTAATGAGAACGGACACTCTCTGCTCCTCCCTAGCTTTAGATACCGCACCACGCCCCGCACATTGACGGTCACATTGACTGAACGAGAACAAGGCTGTCGGCGAGCCATTTTCGCGCTAAAACGGCTTTGATATTTGAATATAGTTTTCATTTATTCATTACGAAATTTGTACGTCAATATATAACATCATTTTACGTTACTATTTATAATGGTCGTAAATTGTGCTGTGTACGGCTGTTTATAATCATCTAAACGGGATAAAGAGAGTAGTTTCTTTCGTTTTTTTAAAGATGAAACGTAGTAAGTAAACAAACTTGTGTCTGAGACTTATTCAGTTATTGTTTTCTTTAGTGCAGAGTAATATATAATACAGATTTATTGTATCAATATAATAAGACGCCATAACTTCGTGAGCTAGGCAAGGGTTCTCGAATTTTCAATTTTGATTGCCAATAAACATTACGTAGTGAATATATCTAATTATTAACTAGGCAATGATAAGGTTGGACACGCAATTTCAAATCTTTGGTTACGTTTTTTAAAGGTACCTGTCCAAAGTGCTTTTAATATATTTTAAAAATAAATCTTCAATATTATTCTAGTTAGGGAATTAATGAAAAACATAATATTATATCGATATAGATAACGTAATGAACATGTGTACTTATTAGGATTCTATAATAGAATTATAGATAACAGATTCGCGGTAGAATTTTCTCTATGTTGCCGCTCTGACCACGTAACGTAATAGTGCGAGCAAGTGATGGGTAACCCTGCCACTTCACGCACACATTTGCGCGTGTGCAGATAGCGCCTTGCTGTATGTAGTAATAGTAGGTAAATAATTGTCGACTGTTGTATGGAGTGTCCGGGGTGCAGTGCTACGTAATGATCCTGCAGAGAGAATCAGGTATAGAGTACAAAGCATAAAGCTGTGTTTCGTCTGACGATCGGTTCTGATTATTTTGTTTTGCAATGTTCGTAAGCTCCTTCAGCGTTTCGTCAAGGATGTCCTGACTTTTCTGGTATCTGAAAAAAAGAATAAATACGTCCGTTCACGAGTAAAGGCAACTCAGAGGCGCTTTGTAATTTACAAATTTTAGAACAAAATAGTAGCAGTAGAGCTACTTGTGAAAGAGTTTGTCCTGGGAAGTACTGCCACCTGACCTCTTTCTGCCGCCAAGCAGTAATGTCAGCATTACTGTGGTGAAATTACAGGTACATGGGACTTGTGAACTTATGTCTCAGGGTGACGGGCGCAGTGGTAGTGCGCCTCAGATATTTGCGATTTAAAGGTAAAGTGTTCAAAAACCGCAAATTACGACCAGCATAAAGGTAAACTGTTTTGTTAGAACAAGTTTCTCATCTGTAAAAATGTTATTATTGCTTCAAATCAAATTTCGAACATTACTGAAAAACAAAACAATTTGATTGGACCGCAATTCTAATATCAGTCGAAATGAAGTTTTATTCGGATTGAAATGTCAATAGCAAACAATTTTGACAATTTCACACGTTACTTGATATCGAACGATATGATAGTTGGGGCCGATTGTAGTATGTCTATGAATTATGAATTAAAAATAAAAACTACGGTTGTGTGACATGCGTGAGAAAAGTTTTTATTTGCCGCCATGTCGCCAGTCGTAACAGGCGGTTCCTGAACACATCACAGAGAGCTTATCACATGTGTGTAGATAAAGCAGTGTATGTAACTGTACATAATTACGCATTAAAACACTCGCCAGTCGATTCGTATTACTACGAAATCACATAAATTACTATTAAGGTGACTGTGTGTCTCCAGCGATTGTACATAACAGTAATCGGCGTCGCAGAAGGCGGCGGGCACTCACGCGTCGAAGACGGGCGCGCAGGCGCCGCGCAGGTCGTGCGCGTCCAGCGGCGCCAGCAGGTGCGCGGCCAGCGCGCGCACGCACGCCGCCTCGCACGCCAGCGCCAGCACGTGCACGCGCACGCGCGCGAACAGCGGCTGCAGCCCCAGCAGCGCCAGCGTCGACGTCACCTGCGTGTTGATCTGCCGACAATGGGTCTTGTCACAGTTCTCACATCGCACATGAAACCGAGTGCCAACTCGAAATTGTGGAATCGACAGGACACGATTTGTGTCATATGATGACGTGCAACTGAATTAAACCAATATTATATATTCTCGTTTATAAATTGATAATTACGTATTATGTAGAAATAATAATCTCAGTACAGAATACTAAAAATCCCGACCTCAAAAGTACGTGGAGTTACGTCTATTTACTAAGTTTTATTGAAATAACTGGAGATAATAAAAATCGGTTCTCACTACTCAACGATTATTGAGAGAAAAACGCCTTGAATTGGAGAAATAGCAAAATCAATCATTAAAATAATTGCTCCTTAAGAAAATTTAAGCGCTATTTATAAAAATGAATGTTCATGCGTCAACAGCCACCATTAGAGGTGGATGATTTCCTTCAAAATGAAATGGGACCACTATGGAAGTACCCCCTTTCCAACAAAAAAAGAATAATGAAAATCGGTTCACAAATACCGGAGTTATCGCGTAACATACATACAAAAAACAAAAAAAGCATACAGTCGAATTGAGAACCTCCTCCTTTTTTGAAGTCGGTTAAAAACTGTGTCACGTAGGCTTTGCATAATAAAGAGAAAGCATTACATTAATTTATTATAAGTAAGAGCAAAGAGAACAAAAACAAACAATATAAAAACGGGTATAACAGTATAAAACACTCCCTGACTGCGGGTTATCATAAACAGTCCAGACACTTACCCCAAAAGGGCCTGTGTATACAGGCTATAAATATCCAGTGCTTAAAAACAGTGAAATAAGGTGAAGTTGTATGTAATGACTCTGTTTATCGAGTCTTTTTGCTTCGAGAATTTTGATGGGAGTGAAAACGGAACGAACCAAAACGTAAGAACAATCAAGAAAAGGAATTTGAGAACGATTGAAAATTTCAAAAGTAAATGGCCAGGAACCTGTAAATTGGGTGAAAAAGGTGGGATTTGACAATAAAGTAAATCGCACGGTGACAAAATTATGCAAACTTACCTGATTTTCACAATGCCTTTTGGAGTTTTTGGTCATTCGTTCACTCGCCGTGATGAAGGTAATGGAAGTGTTTGGACTATTTGATTTCTCTGTGTCAGTCCAACTTACCGAACGAGTCGCTGAACCTAGAAAAGAAAATAGTCAGTCATTATGTATGGGTCTCTGGACATCTAAGTTTGAAATAGTAAGTTAAGCAGAGTAGGATGTTGAGATAACGTAAATCACAATTTTCGTAATAAGTTGATGTATTAAGTAAAAAGTGTACAGTATAGTTTGAAAGCTTATCTGTGGCCGATCGCTAGGGAAGCGAGTTGTCAACTGTCTTTTATAACCATTTACACGTGCAATAAGTAGGTTAAGTTAGCCGAAATATTGTACCGTACACATTTATTACGGTCCCATGGTCACGGTTGGAAAAACAAATATACGCGATTTAAATCCGGAAAAGTAGTTTCATTTCTTATGTGTAACAATCGCGAAAACCTAAGAACTCGATAAATAAAAATTTCTCTTAATAATTTAATTAAGGGTCGCTTGTACCATAACGGGTACTTACGGCAAGGCGAAACTGCGGTACTGTTAATACATATTTATCACGCAAGCTGTAAATAGTATAATAAACGAACGAGACCGTATCTTCGATACTTCGACTATTAAGCGCAGAGTGCCAATCGACAGCATCCAGGTCGGCACATATAGAATTAAAATCACCAGTATTATATAGGTACTTAATATAAGGGCGCGGCTTAATTGTGTATAATTGAAAAAAATCTACAGTAGTTACCACAGAACGGTGGTGGGGATCTTCTGGGACAAGCGGACGATCACATACGTTAACATGACCAACGTTATTTGAAAAAAATAAATCCAAAATCCTTTAGAATGATTAGTCCTTCCTAGCTTAAAGCTAAGGCGCAGAATGCGAGAATGGCGAGATGTTTGACGATTACCTACTCCACCGAAAAGAATCTAGATATTAAATGAAAAATGTTTCCTAAACAAATCAATCAATGTGGAAATAATGTTATAAAAGTAAACAAAACTCGTGTTTTACAAATAAACTTACTTACTCGTATCTTAAAACTTTTATTAGCCTACTCTCGCTTTTCGCTGTCAACACAATGTTGCAAGATTTTCTTAACATAAAGTCTTATGGGCTTAAATGTTTTTCTAAACGATTTTGTTAGCTTTAAATTGCAAAGCGTTTAAGTAAAACGAGCTTTTATAAGCACGTTTATTTTAAACATAGCATTATTATAATCAGTTTTTTTCCATCTCTATTCATAAGCCGATGACATTACTTAATCGACTTCTCTATCTTATCAACTGCAGTCACTAGTTGCTTATAAGCGCGTATCGCTTTTGGGCTTTAAACTGTCAATTTTATGTACTGTACTATGTATGTACGTATATAATATGCAAATTGTTTTCAAGGATTTTGAAAGCAGTTATCGCTCATTTTCAACACTAACACATCTAAAAAATGCCAAACCCAGCAAGTAGAAATCTGCCTCGGTAGCCGAAGGGTTGCCATGCTGGATTGCCACGCAGAGATCACGGGTTCGATTCCCAGGCCGGGAGAAATATTTCTAAGGCCTACATTTATTTCTCTCGTGAGTTTGGGTGTCATTTGTTGTTGCCTATGTGTGTGTCCATGGTACTTGCGATATAGAGTTTCCCAAGTGCGGGGCTATGCGTGTATACGCGTCATTAGATAAGATCTAGTTATAATAACATAATGAAAGCCAGTTAGTGGAGGAATATTGAAATTCAAAAATACACAAGTGTATAATTTACTGTTGTATTAATAATAGCGGCATCTTGTGATTGTAATATAAAATGTGTAACTCGGGAAGCATTAATACAACCAATTAATAAAAAAAATATACATATAATATATTTTAAGCAAATTGATCTAATTATTATTATTATTACCTTCTGAGTATCGAGTTGTGTTCGGATTGACTTTTTGCTTCAGGAAATCGAGCACATCTATGAACGGCACTTTATGTTCGAGCACTCTGAAATAGGATTAATAAATTATACAGAGTGTAATCGTTATGTGTGTGCGGTTATTCTATTAGTATAGAGATATCAAAAAGCTTTCAACTGATACCGAAAGTACGTTACCTAACTAATATAGTCAATAACTTAGTAAAAAATTAAATAAATATAAATAAATGAATAAATACAGTAGATAAACTAAAGCCTTTCTACGAATGTCATATTAAATGTATGGGGGAGTTTAAAGCTAAAATTTTGGATATTACTAGTTTTATTTTTTAAAAGTTATTGGTGTCAATTTACACGTTAGATAAGGTACTTTCGATATCAGTTTAAAGCTTTTTCGTATCTGTTATATTTATGGAATAATCGCCAAGGCACACGTAACCATTATACCCTGTACATATAATCACGCACATGGCGGATACTGGGCTTGCAGAAAACGCCAAGAAAGACTACCTTACCTCTGCTTCTAATGTATATTTTTAATATTACAATGTTAAAAATTAATATTTACAATGTAGCAACAATATTTATCAACTTATATGGCATATTTACTGTGATTTTATTCTGTTTTAAACATCCGGTATCCGTAGGAAATTAACCTATTTTTTTGGGATCTAAGTCGCTTCAATTTGTTTTTCAAACAAACCAACATGAACATGCGTATGAGTACATGCATGCGTGCGTGAACTCGTGCATGCGTACGCGTGTAGGAGCGGAGGTACGGGAGTATTTGTTATGTGTTTTAGCCGAGTCAATATTCTCCATGTTAATGCCGTGAATCAATATGGAAATCTATTATGCTACCAAGTTTCACCATACACACGCGCTGAGAGTAACCATAAAGTGATAGTTCGTCTCGTCGTATGTACATGAGAGGGCTTCGTAGTCACTACGTAATATTTATTTTGTATGAAATCAGCTGCTACAATTGTATTTTTAAAATAACCCTTTAAATTTTTTATACTAATATTTCGACTTTGCGTTGGAAGTTTAATAATCTGTTGCATAGTCTACATTGCGTAATCTACTGAAATTTCAGTCTAGTTGTTTTTAATTATGTAGGTACTGAACATTTATGTGTATAAACATGCTGCTATATTGTACAGTTGCCCTGTTCTCACCTGCAGCGGCTCCAACAAGTGGCTCTGACGCAGGCGTCGTCCTGCTGCAGAACGATGTCAGCGCGGATCAACTCGTGCGCATCAGCGCTTACGCTGCTCCACGCGCAGCAGTTGTATCTATAACGTTAATTTATAATATTTAATCCTTGTACTCTCAGCTACAGGTACTACACAAACTGCAAATTGTTATGACATGTCAATTACAGAAGTCACCATTTTCAAGTAGGAGTTTCGTTTTTTTATTATTATTTTATATTACATAGGGAACCTTTTATAGTTCCGGATAAAGTCAACTCCTCAGCCAGTTTCGACAATTATATCTATCCCAAATTACTATCATGCTACACACCATCTTCAATATATATTATGTTATCATAGTTCTCATTTTAAAGTGTTATTTTGTACAGTTTTATAGTATTTAATTTATTGATATATATGAATGGTAAATATAAATGACAAAAGCACACAAAATAATCAAATAGCTAACTGTCCTTTTTCTACACATTGGATGCGCAAAAGATGAAAAGAGACCCATTACATCAGTTTCAAGAAGCATATATAAACTTCTTGGTCATTTTCAATTGTTCGAACCACAAGCGATTGAAATATTTAGAACAAAGAAACTATAGAGTCGCTTTGATTTTAATCTTATTTTTTAAATGATTTTTTTATTAAACGTTAGCAGTAACTAACAAAATATTGTTGTACTCGTTTTACGGCTTGGGATTACCTGTCAGAAGTCAGAAAATACAGTTGCCCGAAATAACATTAACTCGAATTCTCATAATGTCAAATGTATTTTTTTAGGAAGATTACAAAACAAAAGCTAATTTTGGCTTTGTGAAAAGCATCAAAATTACTCGAAAGCGTAACGGTTACATTATAAATCAGTTTTCGGAATTAGGGATATTTGAGTTTACGTTTAGTTGGAATATCGGTACATTTCTTATAGTACACGCTTATTTTTACATTTGTAGTAATATTTGTATCTGCCCAACTCTTTATTATAATCCAGTGAATTTGTATAAAAATCGACATAATAATATATATAAAAATTAATTAATATTTACGAGAAAGGCTACTCCATTACTGTTGTGTTCAAGTAATTTTCAGTCGAAGGTAAACATTTCTTTCGTGGTTTTTTGTATTAGACCCGATGTCCATTTATTGGTAGGTTAATGTTGTTGAGTATTGAACCGAGCAACGTTTACAACTAAAAATTATAAGCGTGCTTATGTCCTTATATTCAAAATCGAACTTTTTAAAGTGCTTTTCGTTTAAACGCCCAAGTCGATTTGTGAGTTTGGTCAACGTACCCAGCCGCCCACAAGTCCCTTGCGAGGTGTGCGCGCCGCGTAGCCGCCTGCCCGTCGCGGCCGCTGCCCGCCGTGCCGCACACGCACACGCAGATCAGTGTTGACTGCAAACAGAACAATAAATACAGTAGTAGTGTTTCGTTTGCGTGGTACGCGTGCCAACAGTTCGAGGAGTTCCACAAATTTGAGCTCAGTTCACCATTTTCGCTTTGTACGTTGTGGTCGTGTCAATTATCTCGTGCAAAACCTCTAAAATCGTAGAAAAGTGGCTTATTCTGATACTTTCGAGCGCAAATAAGATAGTCTTTTTTATAATATCAAGTGACAGTGACGGTGATCGAAATTTGGATGTAATAAAAAAAAACTGGTGTTATTAAAGCAATAATAACATTTTCACAGATAAGACATTTGTTTTAACAAAATAAATTATCTTTGTGCTGGTCGTAATTTGCGGTTCTTGAACACATCCTAGAGGGTTTATGATATGTGTGCAGATAAAATCATTATACGAACCTCAGCATTATGTCTCGTATTTGGCACCTCGGTCTCCATCTTTTTCAATATGGCGGCCATTCGCTCTAGCGACATGGAGAAGCCAAGAGAATTGCACTTGAGCTCAGCGCTGTCGTTGTCGCTTTCTGCGCGAGCCACCTTCCAGAACTCTTCGACTAGGCCGTCATACCTGTTTTTGCAGGGAACGTGGAAAAATCCTCACTCTTAAGGCATTTATTTAAATCGAAGATGAATGATCGCCATAAGATTAACGTATAATAATGTTTACATACTGGGAAGAACTAAAATCTCGCTCCCGATTACGCCATACGAAATTCGCAAGTAACTTTATAACAACGAAATATATAGTAAGGAGATTCTTGGCTACGAGTTCTCGACTAGTATTTATATACTAAATGTTATACGAGTATAAACACATACTCGTAAACATTTTTGCAGTGTATCTTACATATACAATATCGTACAAATCGGTTTGAACCGTTTTGAGTGCCAGTTTGCCATTTGAGTTCAGTGACTACTAAGATATTGTTCTGTTTACATGGCGACTTCAATAGTCAAAGGCGAGGCGATTGTCCACGTTGAATGTTTACATGAAGAAACTTTTTTATATTCTTTCGATAATCGTATCTTCGAGACGAGAAACGGAAATGAAACTATTTTTTCGAAACTAAATCGCGTATATTTGTGTTTATTTGAACAAACCCAGCCTCAGCCGTGACCATGACATTTATAAACGGCCCCGGAACGTTGGAGGATTGTTTGAAAAAACAAATATACGCGATTTAAATGAAGTGTAACAATCGCGAAAACCTAAGAACTCGATATCTCTCTTCGCGTAAATGGGCCATTATGCATACCTGCCGCCGGCAGCGATGAGGTCACCAGCGCGGCGTTTGTTACTCGGCTTGTGGCTGTCGCGCAATACGGTCATATGCCAAAATACCCCACTATGCTGCGTCGCGTTGTATGCCAGGAACGGCGCTATTGTTATTGGGCACTGTCCACAAAAAAAGGAATATCAGTAACATCAAATACTATTAAAGCCGAAAAATGAAAGTTACATGGTAAGATCCTGACTCAGACTAAAAAACAGAGAGTAAAATAATATTTTTGAATACCAAATATAATTTAGTATAATAAAAATATTTATTCACAAAAGTAACATTTGGTGGTATATTGCGTAGGTTTTTCGTAACAATTAAGCGATTCCCTGACTCGTAAATTAAGAAAACTTGTATCTTAGGAGTCAGAAATGAGATCAATCCATCCAAACAATAAAATAATCGATATATGAAATGAGTATATATGGTATATATTTCTTACGAGTGTTATATCTGAACACATTTTGAAATGCATGTTCAAAAGCTGACGAAATAGATTTGAACTACAACTGCAGTTCAGGCTGAGCGCCTTAGGAAAATATAGAGGCCATCAGGCAACAACGGCGCATTGCTCGTAATTTAACGCAGCCGTTTATTTTTAAGCACATGGAAATTTGTTATTTCACTACCTCTAAAATGACATATCTTTCACAAATTACAATCGAAGTTTCTAGTTTTAAATATTTTCTTTTTGCAATTATATATAACAGCCGTAGTTTGAGATTTAAAAGAAGTTGTTATCGCTGGTCTATGCTGGACATAGTTCGTTCACACGAGCCGTAGAGTTCCACAAATCGATGTCTTCTACTAATAAAACTAATATTGACATCATGAGTCAAGACCAGCATTAATTTTTCAAAGTCCAAAAAGCGACTTTTCAGGATTTACCACAATATATGCAAATTTAAGCCTCATAGTAAGGACACTTACGTCACATCCCAGAGCTTTGGCGTTCCTATACACGGCTTCTAATTCATAGACGGCTTGATTGACGATTTTGCACCATTTGGCTTGCTTCACCAATGGCGTCACGAGCTCCTTCACTTCGCATACTGCCACATCAGCTTCCATAAGACGGAGCAGGTTCGATACGTCGCGATTGGTGATGCAGAGGGAGGTCAGGTGGGTTTGTAGCTGGAGACTTGTTATACGTCCTGGAAATATATAGTTGTGGTTACCCTTCAAAACCGGAACACAGTAATGCTGACATTACTGCTTGGCGGCAGAAATAGGCAAGGTTGCAGTACTTCCCTGGACGAACTCTTACACAAGGAGCTCTACTACTACAGTCCAAGCTCCATCGATTTTAAAATTACTTTAGTCAAAGCTTACAGCCAATCATTTTACTCTGGCGGCCTTTGGGTTAACGCCCTACGCGTTCAATTAATATCGCTCTCAGAACGCTGTTGGGACTACCAAGATGGTACAGTGCATCAGGCATGTTCGTAGAAGCGCAAGTAGACAGCTTCCAAGCGACAATGCGGAAAAAGGTATCTCACAAACAGCATCCTAAAAATGGTTGCAGCAGATTTGATTGTCCAATTCTAAAATACTGGGTTGGGCAAATCAAATGTGTTTGCATATACCACATGTGGCATCCCACGGCTATGCCACACGGAGGGAAATTGTGTTAAGTAGTTGGAATTGATTTTAAAAACAATTCGAATTGCATTCAAAGATTTTTAAATAATCGCCTGTCTGTACCGGTAATCGAACCTGCCAAAAATGACAAAAAGCACCTGTAATTTTACTATACTTTTCAAATTGAAAATAATCTTTATTTCATAAGTAAGCATGATTACATTTGAAACAGAAGAATGAGCAAGAAACTTTAGGGGTTACTCTTTGTAAATAACATTTTTACACATTCAACATTTACAATATATTTTTTTTTGTTTTGAAACATCAGAGATCGAGACTACCTCCATGAGCTAAACGGGTTAGTACCACGGATTTTTGTCATAAAAAACAAACACCTGTATTGTTTGTTTTTTCACATTTCACATCCCCGATTCAGACCGGCGATTATTTAAAAATCTTTGCACGCAGTTCGATTTGTTTTTAAAATCAAAATTAAGCCTTCTTTCAGTAAAATTTTCTATCTACGGTATTTAAGGTACTTTCCTTCCATGTGGCATAGCCGTGAGACGCTCTGTATATTAAATAAATATTATGTTGCGTCGTTATGTTGTGTATACTAACCTATTCTAGGTGAAGATATTACTAACAATTTATCTATGTATGTATAGTCTATGCCTGTAATAACTAATTAAATCTATTCTATTCTAAAACTCTATAAAGCAACACTCACCAAAGCTAACATCGACGAGTACAGGGTAAATATCGGCCTGCTTATCCAACGGCACCCCGCAGCAGAGCAACAGCGTTCTCAACAACTCCGCGTGGTTCAACTGTATCGACACTTTAAGGGAGCTCTCAGCAGCCGCTCGACTTGCTACCACTAACAGCTCTGCATCCGCCCAGAAGGTATCTGAAATGTTTGGTTCAAATTATATAAGGGCGCGTTCCCATTATGTCGTGACGACAGATAGTCCTGCAGTTTAAAGTGTCGTGGCTTGTATATTTAAATGACGTTGTTCACATATAATGCAATACTATTAACTGTCGTTCACGACTTTTTTGTCGTGCGAACGACAAGGCGGCTGCCGTGAACCGATAAGTTGTCGTCACGATCTAATGGCAACAGCTAGACACGACAGTCGTTCAATGATAAAATAAACGTCAATAAAAAAACTGCCTCTACTAAATGCCGAACTGCCACGCAGAGGTCCCAGGTTTCGATTCCCGGGAGAAATATTTATATGGCCTACATTTATTTCTCTCATGAGTTTGAGTGAAATTTGTGGTTGTCTATGAATGTGTCCATGGCACCCGCGACACAGGGTTTCTCCTAGTGCGGGGCTATGTTGAGTGTCTGCGTTATTATCACAGTCACGACAGATAGTCGTGATGTGGGAACAGGCTAGCCGAGACAGTCGTCTAACGATAAATAAAACGTTGTGACATAATGGGAACGCGCACTAAGACTAGAGGTTTCAAAACAGAATTTAAAGGCCTACCGCTAACTGAGTCGGTTCCCGCTGCGCGGTAAAGAGGTGTGACAGTTCACGTTACGGTTATCAGTCAGTCATCGTCTTAGAGTGAATACCTCCTATGTGATTTCTATGTAATTATTCACGACGAAGAAAAAAATGCGGTGTAAAATGCAGTAAACGCAATAATGTTTGTTATTATTAGCATTTTAATTTGTTAAATTTACCTTTTTCAGATACTATATTACTTATAATACTATATTTTTTTCTACAACAAAAATCAGTAAAAAAAACTATGTGAAAACGCGTATGCGAGATTATCACTCTAAGGCGACGTTATGTCGCCCTGCACAAGAGATAATTTCAACAAGATTTATTTGACGATATTCAATAACAAGTTGATTGAAAAAGTGCCAAATGACTTATCTATTTATTTCAATTATCAATGAAATAGGTTTTTTTATATTATTTCGTTTCACATAACAACATTTGAATAATTTAGCAAGCAATTTTTTCACCAAATTGGTTCTGGTGATCTGGGGGATGTAGGTCTGGTGTCTGGGAAGTGCCCCAGAGTGAAAGTCGTTGCACTGGTACTCACAAATACAGGGAATTCTCTAGTTTTTTTTTTTTGTAATATCAAGTGACGAGACGAACAAGTCGTGCGTCTGACGGTAAGCTACACGCCTGTCCATAACAGTTGCAGTGCCACTCAGAGCTTTCAATCACAAAGATGTGATGGGCACTGCCGCTGCGCCCACCTCCCTGAGACATAAGTTGACAAGTCCCATGTGCCTGTAATTTCACCAGCGTCATTACACTTCAAAACCGGAACACAGTAATGCTGACATTAATGCTTGGCTGCAGTAATGGATAAGGTGGCAGTATTAACCTGGCTGAACTCTTTCACAAGGATCTCTACTGTTTAGTTTGAGACTAAGTAATTGCTGTGGTTATCTGGCACATTACATCAGTAGTGAGACAGAATACGATATTGTTTTTTGACGAAGACAACAACGTTATAAAAGTGTTTGTAGTACCTGTCTTGGGAGTGATGATATCAAACGCGCACTCAATTATCTCTCTCGGATGAAAGCCTTGCACGTGCTTCTCTCTGTACACGCGATCGACAACGTAGCGACGCATACATTTCGTACCCGTGTAAGCTATATGCCTGTAGAAACAAACGAAATTAAAACAATTATAGTGTATTTACAGGTCGCCTTCTCGGACTCGGCAACGAACCCGCTTTTGCACCGGAGTTACGAAGTCTTTTGACAACCTAATTCGCAGCCGAAGTAGACCGAAACGACGAAAAGGTGTAATCACTGAAGGTGATAAGGCACGTGACCGCTGACGAAACAAGTTTTGAGTCAGCGGCCGCGTTCCATCACAATGTGCGTGACGGAGACCGGGGAATACCTACCATTTTTTTTTATATAATATCAAGTGACAGGAAGAACAAGTCGTGCGCCTGATGGTTAGCTACACGCCTGTCCATAACAGTAGTTCCACTCAGAGATTCAAATCGCAAAGATCTGAGGGGCACTGCCACTGAGCTCGTCACCCTAAGACATAAGTTAACAAGTCCTACGTGCCTGTAATTTCACCAACACACTTACCCTTCAAAACCGGAACGCAGTAATGCTGACACTACTGATTGTGGCAGTACTAACCTGGACGAATTTTTTTACAAGAAGCTCTACTGCTACTACATCTTACCAAATTACTTTGTTGAATGTTGCAAACGATTTGTTGAATCTCATTCTGTACGTAAACTTGTATTTTTAATGACTTGGTGATTTCGGCAAAGAAAGTAAAGCGAGTCGACTGCGCCCCCTTCAGAAAGGTAATGTAATCTGTAGTAGGGGGCAATCGACGCCGTATCGCAACTGTCAAGACTGGTTTTATACGGTTACTAGTGATTTCAACATTACAAACTCATGGTACGGGTATTGAAATCACGAGGTGTCAATGTATGTAGTTAAAAAAATCAAAACACAGGTTGTATAGAAATTTACACGTACGTACAAAATAAGTATAGTTTCACTATGTCCGGCCAAACATCGGACATAGAAATATTGAAGATATATTTTATACATTTATTTACATGCTCTTTAACGGACTAAACTAGGTGTAACATTTTTTTAATAATGTCACATCGTATGTGTGCACCACATGAAGTTAATAAGTAAGTCAGGAGTTTAATCTCCGGTAGTATCAGGACAAGCACTTACCTAGCAAAAGGCAGCCTGAGATCATGAGGCAGATGACAAACGGTACCACTGGCTGTCATAACTTTGACGGCGTTGGGGTACTGGTCCCACGCTTTTGCTCGTGGTAACAGAAGAGGTGGTGAGAACTCTGTAGCTCCGTGGCTGCGGAAGATCTGAAGATGATTACAAAAAGATTAAAAAATAGTCTAAATCACAAGTGTGGCAGTTCATATGGAATACCACACTTGTACACAGAGCTACACCATATATTGTCCTTGGATAGCAATGGTCCGTACGAGTTGATGACAGGGATAGATCTTTTTTTGTGAAAACAAATTTGATTTAATACATTTTTTGGTCACTGTTAAACTTAAAACTAATGTAATCGGTTTTCTAGCTGTGACACAGGTATATTTTACTTACTAGAGAGCTCCAACCTTATGCCATGATTATATTGAAATGAAATATAGTTATTATTGTAAAGTTATTATTATTATGCCGTGAGTTGGCCAATGAATAATATTGGAAAAAACATTTAATGCTTATCGACAGTTTGTTGTAACGATCATTTCATTATATGGGAAGAAAAATCGGGGTAGCAGAAGTTGAGCAAATATTAATGTTTATTCCCTTATAATAGGCTATATACGCGCAAATGACGCGCGTTGACGGCGCCGTAAACGCATTTATAAAATACGTCATGTGCATAGGCTCTTAGCATCTTTATTACACTATCAAGCGACGGAATGAACAAGGCGTACACCTACGCATAACACTTGCAGTGCCCTGAAACACAAAATTGGCAAGTTCCATGTGACTGTAGCTTCGCCAGCACCCTTGCCCTTCAAAACCGGAACGCAGTAATTCTCATATTACTTCTTGGCGGCAGAAATGAAACTGATGTCAATAATTTTTAAGTTACTGAATGTCACAATGTTTGACCACCATGATATTAAATTATTTTTTGCGAAATTACTCCACTAGTTTGTTCTAAGTAATTAATAACACAAAGATCAAACGCGTATAAAAAATTCCTTCGATACGGCTGGATTCGAACCAGCGTCTTCCAGCAAACCGTGCAAGACACTATGCCAATTAAGCCACGGAACCAACTAGCCGACCTAACGAATTTTCCTAAGTGCTTGTAGCAGATCTTTGTTTTTCGATTTTAACGACTTTTTTGGTGTAGCGCCATCTGTGAGAAATCTGAATGCGAAAATGTAAGTAACTTAGATATTAAAGTCCGTTAGACTACCATCGTTGTCTATACATAATAAAGTTTCAAAAATTACCTTAACCACAGCATCTTTAACATAACAAAGAACGTCGACAGGCTTCGTTTTCATGTCATTATGGTACGTCAAATCTTCGGCGGGCGATTGCTTCTGGTCCAGACATGCAGCTACCAGTCTCTGGTATCCTCTTGATCCTCGGTCGCTGAGAGTGTGAGAAAGGAGACCAGATAATGCTCCTTCTGGTACTGGTCGAGGTACGTGCTCGCTTGCTAGTAGCTCTGCGCAGGTTGGACGGAGAGACGCGTCGTGATTTAGAAGCCACCTGTGTAGGGTTACAAATGCTGACATTTGATATTTTCCTCTGTAATAATCAAACTGGCAAATAGACCGACCACTAATTAGAAAGATGTAGATAAGTTTAAACCATTTTTTTTTACATGTCGGAGTGGTTTCTTCATGGAATCTTCAAACATCATTTGGGCAAATTTAGAGATCATGCAATGATATTACGTTTAATAGTAAGACTGTATATTTTAATAACTATGAAATCGAATAACAACTTGTACTTTCTATTAATTCTATTTTCTATTAACTTTAACGATTGAAATAGGGACTAGGCTGAACAGAGGACAGTTCCGTGACGACCCGATTGAAAAGTGTGTCCGATCGTGCCTGCCAACAATGTCACGACTCTGTCGAAACGCGGGAAACGTAGTGTGGACTACACCGCTAGGTGGCGCGCTTGCGTTCCGTTTAGTGTCCGTACTCATTACTGGCTACAACATATATAATGTCAAGTGACGGAACGAACAAGTCATGCGCCTGGTGATAAGCTACATGCCTATCCATAACAGTTGCAGTGCCACTCAGAGCTTTAAATCGCAAAGATCTGAAGAGCACTGCTACTGTGCCTGTTACCCTGAGACAAAAGTAGACAAGTCTCTTGTGCCTGTAATTTTACCAGCACCCTTACCCTTCTAGACCGGAATACAGTAATGCTAACATTACTGCTTGGCGGCAGAATTAGGTAAGGTGGCAGTACTTCCTTGGACGAAATTAGCTCTACTGTCACTAAACGTGGCCTAGATAGTGCCTATTCGCTCTTGCCTTAAAAATGTCAAAGAAAACGTTTGATGGGAACAGGTCAGGAGGTAAAAAAAATTACAATGTAGCATTTATAGAGACCAGGCCATTTATGATTACAACACGAATTGTAATTGATGGACCTTAGCTTATAAAGAAAGCTTCGCTAACTGTGGTTCTTTAAATAAACATTTAAAACTTGCCTGATGACATGAATTTGTTTGGCGTTATCCTCCTTTTCAAATTCCCGAGGCATTCTTATCTCCTTAGTTCTCAAGTCGGTCAGCACCATCATTCTTTCCATGCCGGTACTCAATGGCGCGTGGAACATTTCAAACAAGATTATGCCGAGCGAGTAGATGTCCACTTTCTGGTTGTATATCACTTTGCTCGCTGATTGTAGAAGTTCTGGGGCTACATATAGGGCTGTGCCTACCTGAAACGTAAATAATAAAACTCATAAGAATAATAAAAAAGCCATGGTAGCTTAGTTGTTGTAATGTTAGCCCGCAGGTTTGCACGCTGTACGAGACAAGTAAAGATTACACTGTTTAAATCTTATTGTCAGTCCTTCTACACGTGCAGTCTGTCGGTCAACTATACGCAGAGGACATACAACGGCCTGCGCGTGCAATACAACAACGCGTTCCGGGTGTTGCTGGGGCTACTGCGCTATTGTAGCGCCTCGGGGATGTTTGCGGAGTCGCATACAGACGGGTTTGCAGCCATTATGCGCAAGAGGTGTGCCTCGATGCTAAGCCGCTTGCGCGGCAGCCCCAGCCGCATCCTGAGCGCGTTATCTGCAAGCTGGGACTCGCGGATGTTCGCACACTGGATGCGACTTCATAGCATACCATCAGTCGCATAGTTTTATTTTGTTTCTTTTTTATTTTGTATTTTTGTATTGTGTAAGTAACCCTTAGAATTAAGCATTTTGTAATTTTTACTAACAATCTATGGACCCAGTTCCGAAATAAATGATTATTATTATTATTATTATTAGTGGTTTGACCTACAGCCGCTTACGCAGAGGCCGTGGGTTCGTACCTTTGACTTTTTCGGAATTTATATACGAAATATTATTGAAATTTACCATGAGCTTTTCGGTGCGGAAAAATATTGTCATGATACCTGCACGTCGGAGAAGGCTCACAAATCCCTAACTCGCATTGCACCAGCTTGGTGGTTTATGGCCTAAACCCTCGGCTGAGAGGAGACCCAGCAGTGGGACGAATAAATGGATTGATGAAGATAGGAATAGCGTCATCTTGCGAAATTTTAAAATAACTAAAAGACAATCGTCACAATGCCGTCAAAGGTACCAAATGAGTGCCATTTTCCGCTAAGCTACTCGTCGCGGGCGACTGGCCTCTGTTTTACCTCCGAGTCGCGGCCGCTTCAATGGGTATGGTATATGATATAAGAGTCTAGCGCGACCAGCCGTCCACGACTATATAATACTCTCGATACATATAGATGTATCGTTATGTAAATAAGTTACTCACACTCTTAGTAAATAAAAAAACTGCGCTACAAATTATAAATGGCATTTAATAAGTATAATTGTTTGATAAACTCCGTCTTGTAAAATTCTGTTAACATATACAAGTATGTAATAGTTACACAAAATACCATGTCATAGCCGTCTTAGTTATTATAATGGTTATTAGACTGCTGACACTATAGGTCTATTTTTAAGAGAAATATATGTAAAAAATTACTGTTTCATGTATGAGTGTTTGTTGCCACAAATAAATATAAAATAAATAAGTAAAAGTTCAAATGTTAATTTAAAATATATTATGGAAAGATTATTTACTCGCTGCTGACGCGGCCATAAATCATCGGAGCATGACTGCGATATTGCGCTCTCTCCGACTTGCTAACACGACCCCCGTCATCGATGAAAACAAAGGAGCCACTAAGGGCGCGAGGTCGGTGCGGTACTATGATTAATTTATTATCTGCTATTGTTTAAATATAGCAACTTTTTTTTATTTTATACTTCGTTTCAATCCATTTTGAACAAAAAGTAAAACAAGTCACTGACCTGACCATAGACGGTTTAGTAATGGCCAATTGTAACGCCAACTACAAATCGATTAATTAATTGAATTTATCGATTTGTTCAACTGAGTCATACTAGCGGTTTTCCTTACATAACCTATATAAGCATATTTAAAATTTCAATTTAAATCCTTCAAATCCTTACACTTAGATACTCGTTCGATTGCGATTGAAATGTTTGATTTAATAATCGATTACTAAACTTTAATTGATTGAACCGAATGTTTTTTTTTCAGCACTATGCAACCATACGCAAGTCATAGAAGTATAGAGGAATAATAACCTCAGTTTTAGACTACCATTTTTCAAATACGATTTTACGATGCTATTTAAATGAATAAGTGATGGTATATCAAGTCGAAATCTTCGAAATATACGTGAAAGTGTTACTTATTGGATTTATTGGGTGATTGCTTTAGAATTTTAACCAAACAGGTTTGTTTACTTTTTGTTCAAAATGGATTGGAAGACTTTATTACCATTGTTATCAATGTTTTAAAATTTTTGGAGTAAATATTAATTTCGCACGCCATCGTGACTGTACTAGTTTTAGGTTTTTAATTGTAGATTTGGATATTTAATTTGTATTGTGTGTATTTAACAATTAGATTGCTTTTTTATTTGAGTTGCTACTTTCACTATTACAACAAAATTAAACGTCATCTGTATCGACAACTTTTATCTAATGCAATAATGCACAGCCCTGCGCTTACACAAAACGCCCGTACCTGTTTGCACCCTACTGGTAAGTGGGTGAAGGAGCGCAATATCGCTGTCCCGCTTCGGTAATTCATAGCTGAGTAAACAGCGAGAAAATAATCTTTGTATAAAATTATTGAAAAGTGTTAATATATAGCGTATTTTACCTGTCCCGTGAGTGAACCTCCTATTTCTTCTTGATGTTTATTTTTCTCTGTAAACAAAGCGGTTTTATTAAAGGGACAATATTATACTGAAACGTCTTAAAAAAAGAACGAAGGGAGTAAAATGCTAAGTTTAAGGTTTTTAAATCACAGATCATAAGGCCGGTTGTTTAGGATACAATTTCAACATGTAAATCTTTTGAAGTATAGTAGAAAAAGAGTTTATGATGTTTATTTGTTGTTATATAAAAAATAAGTGCGCATTTGAACTTTAACTCACCTGATGGAAAGTGACGGTGAGGTCGATTATGGAGCAAACACACTTAAATAATGCCTATGCACTCTCACCTTAAAAGGTCCAAGTTATAACGGTTAAGGAATAATTCTATAGGTAGGGAATTTCACTACATAGCTGTTCGCCAAATAAATGTGAAAGCGCAATGCTGCATGCAAATCCTTGGAATAGCGACAACAAAGGCGTGGAACCCAGGCCTACGTCATGTACCCCTATGATGGAAAGGGGAGGGCGGAATCGTGCAATTTTATCAGACACTTTCTCTGACATATCGACTGTGCACTGGCAACCGGTACTATCGCAATTTTGACAACTTTACATTGACTTTACAGGTGAAGAAAAAAATTGTTTGCGTCATTTATATAGCATCTGATTTATTAAATAAAAATACGTAGTTTTAAATATTTTTATTACACATACACTACGTATTTTTGTTTAATAAACCAGATGCTATATAAATGACGCAAACAATTTTTTTCTTCACCTGTAAAGTCAATGTAAAGTAAGTCAAAATTGAGATAGTACCGGTTGCCAGTTCATAGTCGAATTATCCTGTATAAAACCGATAAACAGGCAACTTTGCAGCGGTGTACAAGCCTCATCAATTTAAAACCTTTACTTTGTTATAATTATCATACAAATATCGAATACTAAGAAAAAATCCATTGATCCGACTGGATTTGAACCAGCGCGTACAGAATATATGAAGAAAATCTTTCATAGATTTGTCACAGATGGCGCTACGGCAAAAAGTCGTTAAAATCCTAAAAACAAAGATCTGCAACAAGCACATAGAAGAATTCCTAAAGTCTGTTGGTTCGTTCCGTAGCTCACTCAGTTGGGAGGGCGTCAGGTACGGTATGCTGTAGGCGCTCGTTGGAATCCATCCGAATCGAAGGAATCGAATTTTTTTTAGTGTTCGTTCTTAGTGTAATTTTAACAAACTTATTGCTACTACACCCCATACTCCACGTAATTTCACATAAAATTATTGAATATCATGATTGTAAGGCATCGTGATATTCAATAAAAAAACAGTTACGTAGATGGACCAAAGGGTAGTCACTGCCTACCGCGATGGGAACAAGACGTGAAGTATATATACATGTATGTAATTTAAACATTTAAAACCTTACCATCCAAATGCAATCCTGTAAACGCCTTAGTAGCGAGCCCGAAGTCACCAATCTTCACATGATCATTGGAATCCAAGAAAATATTAACGGGTTTCAGATCTCTATGGATCATGCCCCTTTGGTGGACGTGAGCCAAGCCTTCCACTATCTCCCTAAAGAGCCGCCAGGCCCGGAAATGTTCCTGGTACAAACCGTTGTCTATTGCATGTCGAAGAGTGTGTTTTTCGCAAAATTCCATCTGTAAGTTCGAATACATCTTTACCGATTCGATCTGTATTATTACGTCACGTTACGGAAAATTTTAAGCATTATCCACTAGCTGACATATAAAATCACATCTAATGTCATATATAGAGCGCTCAAATTTGGAGTTTAAATGGACAATTTGTACAGTTTTAGCAGCAATAGAGCTCCTTATGAAAAGAGTTTTCACAGGGAAGTACTGCCACCTTACCTATTTCTGTCACCAAGCAGTAATGTGTGCATTTACGTGCTTTCCGGTTTTAAAGGGTAAAAGTGCTAGTGAAAATACAGGCACGTGGAACTTATCAACTTATGTCTCATGGTGACAGGCACAGTGGAACCCTAAGATATTTGCGATTTAAAGGTCTGAGTGGCACTGCACCTGTTATGGATAGGCTTATCGCTTACCACCAGGCGCACGACTTGTTCGTCCTTACTGGTACTACAAAAAAAATCATTTTACGCTTAATGAGAGCGTTGATGACCAACCCGCGGCCTGTTTGAGAGGTGGAAGGTCTAACATAAGGCTAGGACATCTTTTGAAATTTTAATTAACATTACATAAATATATCGTTATGTTTACTATATTTTGGTTTATGTACAATTGTTATATTTGTGGAGAAAATAAGCACATTAAGCATTATCATTACGGGGAAATCTTTGATACTTTTGGTAAACAAACAAGTACGTTATCTTGTACGGGTCAACGTACATTATTGGGCAACTGACAATGTGCAACGTCGCACCCTATATTGGGCATGTGCAAAATTTATAAATTATAATTTTTAGGACAATAAAGCTACTCCGCGGTATCGGCCGAGTATTATTTCTACAGCAACTTTGACATCTCCCTGCATCATCTCGCTGATATCACCTGACATATTACTGTACGAGACAAGCAACTCGTACCTGAATGTACAAAACTTGCTTAAGTTTCTCGGACTGTGGGCGCGGACAGTCCGGTACGTCTTCCGATGGAATTGTTTGCGATTGGTTGTTTGAGTCCACTTCGAACTCTATCAAGCTGCTTTCCTCGTTCTCGGGGCTGCAAATACCATTAATATTCAACTATAGTCTGTATTTTTTTGAAGATGGAGTAAAATGACATTTACAGGGTTGTTAGAATTCAAAAAATTTTAAATAGTCCTGGTGTTGTCGTTAGTTTTATCGATAGATTGTCAACGAAGATAAAATTTTGCCAAAAACATCTGAATTGTGAATGTAACGACGTTCTAATGATTTATTAATTGCGTCATTGGACTAATTCATTCTTGTTTTAACAGTTGTCCTAATAGTATTTTTTTATATATATAACTAGATTTTTTTGGGTGTTATTGTTAATCACAAAGGAACTTCACGAACCTCAATATGTTGAACCAAGGATCGGCTTCGTCATCGTCGTCATCTTCGCTGTCGCTGTTAGAATTGATCTTCTGCACGGGGCCTTCGGAGATGGACCATTCCACTTTCACACCTTGACCAAGTTTCGCAACCACGTCTTCTAGACTGTCTGTTTTCTTTTTTGTTGGCGTTTTTACTGGAAAAAAAAACATTGTTAACATTGACGCTAACGCTGAAGGAAGAACATAAATTATTAGTGGCGGAACGGAACATACTTCCAAAGATTCTGGGACTAATCAACTAACTCAACTGCCTCCGTGGCCGAACGGTTACCATGCCACGCAGAGGTCCCAGGTTCGATTCCCGGGCCGGGAGAAATATTTGTATGGCCTACAATTATTTCTCTCGTGAGTTTGGGTGTAATTTGTGGTTATCTATGTGTGTCCATGGCACCTGCGAAGTTTCCCTAGTGCGGGGCTATGTTGAGTGTGTGCGTTATTTATTTAGATTATTTGGATTTTTTTATTTAGATTATTTCGAATCAAAAGAGAATTTAGGAACTGGAGGGCCCGATTCAATAGAGAGATAGAACGTCTGAGTCGAACATAATCGGGGAAATAAAATGTGCTCTACTTCGCTGGTTAGTTCGTGTGGAAAGAATGGGAGAGGATCGAGCTGCCAAAAGAGCGTATTTGAGGCAACTTACGGGTCATCGTCCAGTGGGCCGTCCAAGATATCGCTGGAAGGATGAAGTCGCCAAATACCTAAAGGAATTGAAGGTGTCCGAATGGTCGAAATTGGCACAAGACCGCTGCCGTACTTTGGTGTCGGAAGTCAAGATCCACTTCGGGTCGCTGAGCCACCGAAGAATGTAAAGACAAGTCAGCACGGTTCTTACCAACAACCTGTATACTGCCAGTCGTGGAGTCGCCGAACTCGTTTATTTCAATCATCGACTCGATCCACGCGTTGTAATATCTGACAACGTTCTCGTGGTTCAATCGGGACAGTAGCTTCACTTCTCTCGTGATCTTCTTGTTCAGCTGGACATTTTCTGGGTTCAGTTGCACCCGTTTTATTGCGTAGAAACCGCCGTCCAGTTTGTTTTTTACCTGAAAACGTGTTTTATTTTGTTACTTGCATCTTTAATATTAATTAATGGACATGGACAAGACATGGGCGCCGCCTACATAATAATAATGCAGTAGAAGTGGTTAGGTAGCGTGACGCGTGCCAACAATAGGTCTCAAAAGACCTACTTGAGTCCAGTCCGCCATTTTCGCTTTGTATGGTATTGTGGTGCGAGAGGTACTTTTCAATAAGAAACGAGGAATAATTTAATGATTAAAGATTTACTGTGAGCGTTCCGTTTCAAGATTTGTCTAGAACTCTCTCGATGTTCATTTGACAACAACCTTCTTATTTTTATACAATTCTAAATATAAAATAAACTAGCCAGCTACAATTTAACCAGCCTGTGCTATATCCCTCCTCCTCACAATTGAAGGGGGGTTCTTACTAACATAGTGCCCTACCTATGATAGGCAAACACACATATGTGATCGTGTCATTCTTTCAAGCAAATTCTTTAAACTCGCAGAAAAATGCATTATTGTGCTGTTTTGGAGTGCAAAAATGATAACCGCAGCAATACATTTTTTGTTTATGGAATTGATTTAGATGTTAATTCGTCCAGCTACTGGCCGCAAGATGGCAGGACGTTGAAGATAATTTTAATATAAAACCAAAACGTCGTTACTTGCAATAAAGGTATTGAACATTCAACGATATGGCAAAAAAATAAAAAGATTTAACAAATCGACTGTGAACGCCGGTACTATCTCAATTTTGACAACTTCATGAAGAGATAACAGGAGACAACAGGATGAAGAGATGATAATTTATACAGCATCTGGTTTAACAAAAATTCGTAGTGCACATACGTGTACATACGTGTGTAATACAAATATCTAAAAACTACGTATTTTTATTTAATAAACCAGATGCAAATATTTTTTTTCTTCATCGTGTAAAGTTGTCAAAATTAAGATAGTATCGATTGCCAGTTCACAGTCGAAATTCTGAATTGTTAATATAATTTAAATTTTACCCAGTAGCGACTGGGTATTAATGGGTATTAACAATCCAGAATTTGTTACATCTTTTTAAATTAGAAACTATGACAAACAATTATTCTGATTTCGTAGTGTTTATCATTTGTTCGTGTGCGTTTTTGGCTACAGCGGTTCCGATAATAATAGAGGCACTTCCATTGTTTTTTTTTCTTCCGTGTGCGCCGCCTATCCTGTTGAAATTTACCGGCGTAAAATCAGCGCAGAGAAGTTTTGTTTTATTTTAAATCAAATATCAGCTTCTTTAAGAGGGAGCATGCTAAAAAAGTTTTGACGTTGGCTGCGCCCAAATTTGTGAAACAAATATATGCCTGAACTTCGCGTGACATGCGACAGGAAATGTTGAATTTTGCGCATTAAAAGTACCAAATTTGTTTTAGTGGAATAACTCTAACTAAAGGGATTTAAAAAAATCCGTAGTGACAGTTGTCGATCATGCATAAATATAATTAATTATCTAATTTTTGTCCTAATAACCTGTAGCATTTCGAGGATAAATCGAAAAAATGTGAAAATTAGAGGTCATTTCGTGATTTTTATCTATCGAGGAAACTTTATTGTTTTATGTTTCTGATTAATGTCTATGCTTGAATATATCGTGTCTCATACAATATTTTATTTTTAACTTTAAAGTGGATATACCCCTCTAAAATCAAATCGAAGATTAGGAATTTTTCCTCTGCTCCCTCTTAATAATTATTTACTATAATTATTAATACAAAAAATAACAAAAAATTATGAATATCATGGTAGTTAAAACATCGTCATATTTAATAAAATAAATATTGTAATTATTACATTTCAATACAACATTTCCGTCTATTTAAAATGAATTAAGTTCCTATCTATGTGAAACCTATCCATATTAGATTATTAAAGTACGTTTATTTTCACGTGATCGTGTTTTAAGAGCTCCTTGTAAAAGAGTTCGTCCAGGGAAGTACTGCCACCTTATCTATTTTTGCTGCCAAGCAGTCATTACTGTGTTCCGATTTTGAAGGCTAAGGGTGCTGGTGAAATTACAGGCACATGGGACTTGTCAACTTACGTTTCGGGGAGAGTGGCAGTGCCCCTCAGATCTTTGAGATTTAAAGCTCTGAGTGGCACTGCAACTGTTACGGACAGGTGTGTAGCTTACCATCAGGCGTATGACTTGTTCGTCTCGTCACTTGACATTATAAAAAAAACAAACATGTCTTCTGTGTGTGGTTTCCTTTATCTTAAGCGAAGAAATGCTGATACTAATAATTTACAAATGCACGCAACTTGGAAACAAAGTCATATGTACATGCCACCATATTCGAAACGTACACCTCGACTAAATTACTATAGGTCGAGATAAAGTATTTCCATGAAACAATAAAGACGTTTCGAGTTCTTAGGTTTTCGCGATTGTTACACATAGGAAATGAAACTATTTTTCCGGATTTAAATCGCGTATTTCATGGTCACGTGAAAGTCAACCGTGACCATGGGACCTGTAAAGTCCCCGAAACGTCGGTTTGTTTGAAAAAAAAAACAAATATACGCGATTTAAATCCGGAAAAATAGTTTCATTTCCTAAATAAACACGTTGTTCAATTTTTACATTAAAATTTTAAAACACAACCTGTACCTTTAAGACATCTCCGAAAGCACCCTTGCCAATCCAGTTCAGGACCTCGAATTCCACATTCAGACGAGAATGGCCGCTTGTACTTGGACTCAATTGCGGGATCTTCTTTATTGCGTCCTCGTCCTATTGTTTAACAAAAATATAAAAAATTAGTATACATTAGGTCAAGGCAGGTAACAGCCTCGCAAGCAAGCACGCACACACGCACTCACAATTTTTTTTTATTACTCCCTTACCATAATACATCATAACAATTTAAAGAAAAGAACTGTACAATCAAGAGGTTTAGAACAGGACGCCTAAGATACAGGGCTCCCCTAGTCTCTCGGGCTTTTGACTGTCACGAATATTATCTACACCTGTTCTAATACTTCAGTATTTCAGTATTTATTTATAAGCAATCATGTAAAGTACATATTAAAATTTACAAAACATGTACCGTGTAAGGGTGTAGCTAAAAATTAAACGTAGGAAATAATCAAAATAATAACCAAAAATAAAAAAATATAAATTAAAAATTACGACGAATTAGTTTGGGGATATTATATCTCTTTATCGCGTAAAAATTTTTCTAATGAGTAATAGGACTCTTGTATGACGAAGGATTTCAATTTATTAGAGAAGACTTTTTCATTTAACTCAAGTGTTATATAGCATGGCATACTTTATAGTCATTCGGTAGAGTCAAGTATATTTATCAATACATAATTATAAATAACAAGAACCTATACGTACAAGCTTAATGTACCTATATGTACAAGCACCTAGCAAGTTTCATAAGATACATATTCGCTTTGTTTGAGAGACAGGGTCGTCTCTTGCTAGCTACCCAGATCCACAACTAAACAGTCTCACTTGTAGTTATTTATTATTATAAGTACATACATATATATACATATATACACAAGTTGGTATATATGTACAAGTATATAAACCTAGTACCTCAGAGCCACTTCCAGCGCCATCTGTTTTCCTTCCATTTGGTAATTTCGTTGGTACATCTACCAGGAACCCATGACTTACTAACTGTTCTGTCGACCATTGAGACTGCTCGTCTTCTGTGAGACATCTGAAAATTATTTTAACTCGATCTGAGACACCTCACCTCAAAAATGTGTAATAGCCATCACAAATGTAAAGACACTGAGAGTTCAAACAAATTTGGTCACTATTGAAAATTCTGCTTATAACTATTATTACACAGAATGTATTAAAAACCATCACGTACGTTGCTCTGATTCTAGAGTCAGTAACTATGGAAATCGAAAACAGCGACGATACCATAAACACTCAGACCATATACCAGACAATATAGAAAAATTTGTTTCTTTTTTTTTTGGGACTTCCGAGATTAAAACCGGAGTGCAAACCACTCGACTACGCAGGTCGTTAAATAGTAAGGACACGTTATTAGTAAAGTTTGGCGAACTCTCGTTTTTCACTTTCTTCTTTGAGCTCCTTGCGAAAGGGTTTGTCCAGGGAAGTGCTGCCACCTATTTCTGCCGCCAAGCAGTAATGTGAGCATTACTGTGTTCCGGTTTAGAAGGGTAAGGGTGCTGGTGAAATTATACGCATATGGGACTTGTCGACTTATGTCTCAGGGTGACGAGCGCAGTGGCAGTGCCCCTCAGATCCTTGCGATTTAAAACTCTTGAGTGGCACTGCAACTGTTATGGACAGGCGTGTAGTTTACCGTCAGGTGCACGACTTGTGCGTCCCGTCACTTGATATTACAAAAACTTAGGTATTTCGTTTAGTTCGTTTATGAAACAAATGAGGATAAATTTAGCACTTCATCTAAGAAGAGTTTTTACATTGAATAATGAGTCTCAAGAAATTAAGCTCACTCCAGTTTTAGGGTCGTATTCTAGAACTCTACTCAATGCTCAATTCAGGATTTCACTGGAAACACAAGCAATGGAAATACGACCCTAATGGCAGGGACTTGAGTGTGATTTCGAGTGCTTTAAACCATACTCAAATCCTGACTTGAGCATTGAGTAGAGTTCTAGAATACGACCGTACTTAATAGGAAATCGGAAAACTTTTTAGATAGTACTTAAACAAACCTTGACATGTAATATCTTTTAACTGCCTCTGTGGCCGAGCGGTTACCATGCCGGACTGTCACGCAGAGGTCCTAGGTTCGATTCCCGGGCCGGGAGAAATATTTGTATGACCTACATTTGTTTTTCTCGTGAGTTTGGGTGTAAATTGTGTTTGTCTATATGTGTGTCCATGGCACCCGCGACACAGGGTTTCCCTAGTGCGGGGCTATGTTGAGTGTGTGTGTGTGTTATTATATTATTATTATTATTATATCAAGAAAAATATTATTTTATTTAAGTAAAGCTTTTCAAGCCACTACAACCAAGTTTAAAGCGTTAAGAAACACATAGAGCGGGTGTGGGTCGGGAATTACACCTGTCGCGCTCCCGACCCGCCGTGCTCCCGACCCGCCGTGCTCCCGACCCGACCTGCGCCCGACCTGTTCCGCTCTCTGTGTATTTCACGCTTAAATGTAGTTAAAAATACCTTGCCGCGCAAACAACACTATATATCAACTCAGAACGCTTGACGTCATTGTAGGTAAATAAGCTAGACAATGTGCATTTGCCACTTGCACAATTAAATTGTGTGTTTTTAGAAAAAAGCAAACATAGTACGCGAACGGTGTGTGCGGTGAAGTTTCTTTGCTTACCCACGTATGACATCACGTGGTGTGTTTGGTGTTTGCATAACAGATTAAAAATTTTCAGATGTTGTTTATTGATTTAAAAATACAAATAATTTTTATTTCATAAAAATATTCATTGATCGATTTTTTTTACAAACGACTTCAAAAGTTTGTGGAATTACTTCTATTCGACAAGTTTTATTGAAATCGGTTACCGGAAAGTGCGCGAAACCGGACTCAACATCTAGTTTGCCATCCTTGGAATGGTGGAATATATCCTTCAAATTTAAATGGGATCAATATACCTAAATCCCAAATTTGAGTATTTTTAGGTGGAATATATTATCTATCTCAGGTACTATAAGGACAATAGATTTATTATAACTTTAAGTGAGTTTATTATAACATATATTTATAATTATAATATATATGTATTTATTATTTTGTGATATCTTTTGGAGCTACTCGAGACGCGTCAGACAAATACTATGATTAAAATGTAGCGAGTTTCAAAAAGATAGGGTCTGAAAAACAGCTTAAGCTGAGACTATCCTTTTTATCTACACAGTATCTATAAGTGATGTTATTTACGACTAAATTGTTTTGTAAATGTAGATAAATAAAGTTCTTTATTATTATTATTATTAATA